GGGGAAACTGAGGCTCAGGAGGGGTGGCAGGGGCTGTGATGTCCCCAGGGGTAGGGATGGAGTCCCCTCCCCACTAGCTTAGCCACGGGTAATGCGTGACTCGCTGACCTTGGAAACTGTGCTTCCTCCCTGAGCCAAAACTTCAGTGCTCACAGCTAAGCAAAGGATGGTGGGGAAACTGAGGCTCAGGAGGGGTGGCAGGGGCTGTGATGTCCCCAGGGGTAAGGATGGAGTCCCCTCCCCACTACCTTAGCCACGGGTAATGCGTGACTCGCTGACCTTGGAAACTGTGCTTCCTCCCTGAGCCAAAACTTCAGTGCTCACAGCTAAGCAAAGGATGGTGGGGAAACTGAGGCTCAGGAGGGGTGGCAGGGGCTGTGATGTCCCCAGGGGTAGGGATGGAGTCCCCTCCCCACTACCTTAGCCACGGGTAATGCGTGACTCGCTGACCTTGGAAACTGTGCTTCCTCCCTGAGCCAAAACTTCAGTGCTCACAGCTAAGCAAAGGATGGTGGGGAAACTGAGGCTCAGGAGGGGTGGCAGGGGCTGTGATGTCCCCAGGGGTAAGGATGGAGTCCCCTCCCCACTACCTTAGCCACGGGTAATGCGTGACTCGCTGACCTTGGAAACTGTGCTTCCTCCCCGAGCCAAAACTTCAGTGCTCACAGCTAAGCAAAGGATGGTGGCTTTCGGGGGGTGTTGGTGGCGCTCGCCTTTAATGCCAGCACTCCAGAGGCAGAGGCAGGAGGATCTCTGTGAGCTCCAGGCCAGCCTGGTCTCCAGAGCGAGTTCCGGGATAGCCCTGGCTACACAGAGAAATCATGTTCGAAAAGAATTTATTATTATTATAAATTAATACTTAACGATAAATATTATTATAATAAATGGTAAATATTATCATTACTAGTGGCATGTATTTAGCAGTCAGGAGTGTCAATGCCAGTGCTGAGCTTTTGAAGGTAAGAATTCTAACCCTTAGAGGTTTGAGCGTTTTAAGAGTAATAACCGAGAGAAATGGGGGCGGGCGGGATGGCTCGTAGGTAAAAGAGCCTACCACACAAACCTGGCATCCTGAGTTCCACCCCCGGGACTCGCTGTGGGAGGAGAGAAACGACTCCTAAAAATTGCTCTCTGACCTCCACATATGTCCCGAGGCACAATCCAACCAGTACTCGAGTATAATAATAGCAATAGTAATAATAACAATAATAATATAATTTTAAGTGAAGGGGAATAATTTAAAGGAAAGGGGAGATGAGGGCTGGGATGTAGCTTAAAGGGGAACACATGCCTAGCATGTGAGAAGTCCTGGGTTCTAATCCCCAGCCCAAAAAGAAAAAGGAAGGAAAGAAAACAGGAACAAAGGATGGT